AAAAAAAGAGAGAGAGAGTTCAAGTTTGAGATCCGTCCTGGCTATAAATCATCTTTGTCTTGCTTTTGTCCTGAAATTCTGATACCCATTTTTATGATGCAAATTTCATAAAATTCAACTTGAATAGCTCAAAGAATCTAACTTGATGATGCCCATTTACTGGGCATATAGTATGTGTCCAAGAACTTTACATGCACCTTCTGTCTTCCATTTAGTCATCATTGCATTTAGGAAAAGTTGATTCAGCTAACAAGATCTTTGGAGAGAATCAGCTTCACAAAGGTAGCAGTGAGTGCGGGGCATATTTGCTAACTAGTTCATATGTCAGCTAATTAAGGGAAAAAATATTTCTGCAAAAAATCTTCACCCTGCAGGTGGATCTCTCATAATTTGAGAGCGTATAATATGCATCCAGCTTTGGCTGGCTGCTATGCCCTTGGATGTTACTATGGGAGAAGTGGAAATGGTCTAGGCTAAGGGAACTGCTCCAGCCAGAGAAACTGGAAGCTCAAGATCAACTTTGCTTATTTTGCTTTGGGCTAAACCTGACCACCCCAACCACCTACTTTGGACAGGAAATGATGGTGCCCTCTCAGCCTTGGACTGGGAAAGGAAGGCTTTTGGCCCCTGGCAGATCCTGTGGTCCTGAGGCTACCCCAGTTGGGATAAGTACCTGTACCCATCTCTAGTTGTCATTCTCTCTGCTCCTTCCTGTTTCTGCACCCATCCCAGAGCTCTGCCTAAGAGCTCTCTGATCTGTCCGTTTTTATTTTCTTTCTCCTCAGGTTTGAATCAACTTCTGGGCTTTGTTTCTATGTTGGAAGAATGTTACAGAAAGTGAAGAGCTGGAATGTGAGGGAAATAAAAGGCTTTTTTTGCCCTGTGTTGCTAAGGTGTTCATTGGGGATTGGATTGAGGTGGGAATTTTAGGGTAGACAAGCTTAGGAGGTTGTGGGGGGAGTTTTCCTTGTTGAGCTCTTTAGTTGGGATACAGTTTAGCATAGGTCATAGGTTACTGCAGGCCTTTCCCACGGTTGACTTGGCTTTGGAAAACACCTGGGTTTGAATCCCACCTATGCTACTTTATGTCTTGTTTTCTTCTATGAAATAAAACTGATAATTCCAGCTAGTTGAGAGGGAGGGTGCAGGTCATGGAAATGCTTTGAGATAAATTGTATTCTGAGCTTGGGGCAAGTCGTGCAACTCTGTAGGGCCTCCATTCCGAAGGGATTTGACGAATTGAGTTTGTCCCACACTGACGTGCAAGATTCCTCGCACGTTGGGGGTCCACGTCCCAGGCTGGGTGGTTACAAATTCTGAACAGTCCCAATGTTTCCACAACACATTTCCGAGCCCAGAAGCAGCTTATCAGCCTAGCTCACAGCAACCTCCAACTCCTGGGCTGAAGCAATCTTCCTGTCTCAGCCTCCCGAGTAGCTGGGACTATAGGCACATGCCACCATGCCTGGCTAATTTTTTCTATTTTTAGTAGTAATGGGGATCTCACTCTTGCTCAGGCTGGTCTCGAACTCCTGAGGTCAAGCAATCCTCTCTCGACCTCCCAGAGTGCTAGGATTACAGGTGTGAGCCACCACATCTGGCCCCAAACTGTTTTCCAAAGCAGCTATATAATTTTATATTCCCACCAGAATGAGATTTCCATTTTGTATATATCCTCACCAACACTTGTTATTATCTATCTTTTTTATTATAGCCATCCTAATTATTGTGAAGTTGTGTCTCACTGTAGTTGTGATTTGCATTTTCCTGATGGCTAGTGAGATTGATAATGATTTTTTTTTTTTTTGAGACAGAGTCTCGCTTTCTTGCCTAGGCTAGAGTGAGTGCCGTGGTGTCAGCCTAGCTCACAGCAACCTCAAACTCCTGTTGGGCTCAAGCGATCCTGCTGCCTCAGCCTCCCGCGTAGTGACTCAAGGCATGGCCACCTGCCCGCTGTTTTTATTTATATATATTTATTGGCAACTTAAATTTCTTTCTATTTTTATGGTAGAGCAGGGTCTCGGTCAGGCTGGTTTTGGAAACTCTTCTGAACCTTGAGCAATCCGCCGGCTCGGCTCCCAGAGTGCTAGGATTACAGGCGTGAGCCACCGTGCCCGCGATAAATGATTTTTTATGTCCATTCTTGTATATTTCTTGGAAAAACATATTCAGAGTTTTGCCATTTTTAAAATTGGGTATTTATTTATTATTGATTATAGAGATATGTTTTCGTAGTTACCAGGTTCCTTATCTAAATATATGATTATATAATCTATATGATCTTTTCTCATTTTGTGAGTTGGTTTCACTTTGTTGATGTATTCTTTTGAAGCATAAATTTTTTTTTTGATGAAGTCCAATTTTCTGTTTTCTTTTGTTTTCTTGTGCTTTTAGTGTTTCATATCTAAGACGCTTTGCTAACCCAAGTCACAAAAGATTAAACTTCTATGTTTCTTTAAATAATTTATAGTTTTACCTTTTTACCATTAGGTCTATAATCCATTTTAGT